CAAGCGGAAATGTGCTGCTTACAATTGTTTCTAAATGGCTACCACTTGGTCATTCAACATGCAGACGAGCAGCACCGCCTGGTGCTAGTATAGATATCAGTTGACATAATATAAGGTCCCTGGTTCGAGTCGTAATGCTGCAGTGTTGCGTCAAGATTTTCATAAATTCAGTCCGTGGCAGCACTCTGATTGCAACGGATCCCTAGTTGTTCTCCCAAACCGGTGTGCGTAAGGTATGACAACGAGAGATAGTCGGCGGTTGCCGAGTGGTCTGCGTGTCTGGTTTGTAACCACAAGCTCACCGGTTCGAATCCGCGTAGGAGTGGGCGCCATCGCGGTGTACTCAGCCCACGCGCGATCGATGGTGGACGCGTGACAGTGAAACGCCGTTCCGACCTACAGCTGGTGACTTATTTTGCATTTTTTGTTGTATGCTATTGGCTCGAGTTCAAGACCAGGGTTTCTCACACTTTTTGCGCAGTGTTGACGCCATCAAAATGTCAACTTAACTTGGTCACTCAATCGCTTTTGTGATGATAAAATCCGTAACTACAAGAATGTGAGGAGGAAACGAATACGTGTCAGCAATCTTGCTAATTATGTGTACCAAGGGAGGCGGGGAGGCGATTCACCCCGGGTGGCAGGTGACAGGGGGTGGTATTTTTAGTGCCGCCGATTGTTCGACACTAAATACAGAGGGCAAGATATCCGAACAAGCTGAGTTGAAGATGTTAATGTTACTTTGTATGATCAACAACACATTTGCGCCATGTGTCACACCTGTGTAAATATCCCTCCCAGCGATCCCCTTACTTATCCCATTGTGGTTACTTGCACCACATTTATCTCATTGTCCCAAACGATCAGCAGTTTCATCGAAAATGTATGTGCACTTTGCCCTGAGCCGATTGTGTAACCTTCACGCACCTGTTCTGCCCTCCGTCAAGGAGAAAAGTTCACCACCGTCGCATGCCGCAAGAGTAGTCGCTACGCCAGTTTTTATCACAACGGCAACCTAACGTAGCGGCGATTGATGCTCTTTGGTTACAGCCGCTTCTTTCGTCGAGCGTTGTCACTCGGGCTCAGAGAACGAATTTCCTTACGGCTTGGCTTTCCGTACCACCACTGGAGCAGTTTGATACTTGGGTGTTGCTTGTTGGCTTTCATAATCACGCCAATATTCTAACACTGCCCTTAGTTTGATAAATAGCATGAAGCATCAATAATAGGGGAAACTGACTACATAAGTCTGAATGCCGGGATTGCTGATTAGTGGTTAATGTCTTGATTGGTTCTCCGAGCTGAGCAATTTGATTGCAAATGTTTCGCCATCAATCGACAAGGCTTCTCTAGGGTGTCATAGCAATTAGCTTGTTAGCAGTCATTGAGCTTCGTGAAAATCCAGAGGCGGAGTTGCTCGAAAGACAGTAGCTGTTAACAAGCTGATTACTGTTGTGCACTGAAAATGCCATATCGATTGGTGGAGACAAGTCTGCAATCTAACTGCTCAACTCTAAGGACCAATCAATGCTTCAACTACTGCATAACTTGAAGTATAATCAGCAACGCCCCCATAACCTTACCCGTCAATGCAGTTTATGCGGAATATCCATATGCAGTCCAGAACAGTGACCGGGAAAAAGGTACATGAAAATCGCGTACAGAGAAAAAAGCGTACAAGAAAAAAGCGTGCATGGGGAGTACGTACATGGAAAAAATGCTTACACGAAAAAATTGCGTACACGGAAAATGCATGTAATGAAAATTTAACCCTCAGAGAATGGTGCACACGGTATACGGCGTAGAGCTAAATGCACCAGTTGAATCGCTTTGTACATAAATTACCCAACGTGCCAAATTCACCATGGCACATTCAGACTACTCAACAGACAGGACACTGCTTGCCTACCGCAAGTTGCCGAAGCTTTAGCGATTTCATGGCTCTAACTTGGTGTGATCAGGCCGAGTTCGTGAACATTTTATAGCGCATGTTCAAATATCAGTCCAGAGGAACGGAATCATGAACGGACAAGATTTTATTGTACACATACAGGTGTCCACTATATGGTGGGATCGGTGAACCGTGCTGGTTGGGGAAGCGGAAAATGGCAGCGCGTGTCGCATATGTGCGACGGATCTGACCATGGACGTGTTTTTCGATTTATTAAAACGTCTTGAACTGACAGTCCACATCTCTCATCGGTCGTCTAAGTTTGCAACGGAAGAAGTAAGTTCCATTACGATTGTACCTATTGAACGGAAACAGAACGGGGTAAATCTGCAGACTGCCACAAATTTTTCGTCCAAGCGACTTTGTGGGAAATTTACCATGTGGGCATCCTTCCATGTGCGGTATCATTGTGTGAAAATGGCTATCAGTCATCTGACGTGGTCACCAACCTCATCAAGCCAAGGCCAGGCTAGCCACGAACGCGGTCTAATCACACCAAGTCCATCAGAGCCACCGAATCGCTGAGGCTTCGGCAAACTGCAGTAGACGAGCAGTGTTCTGTCTGTTGAGTATTCTAAATGAGTAGTGGAAAAGTTGGCACGTTGGACAGTCGTTTATGTACAAAGCGATCAAACTGATATATTTCCGTCTTCACCGTATATCGTGCGCGCCATTCTCCCAGAGTGAACTTTTCCTTGTACGCAATGTTCCGTGTACGCATTTTCCAGCGTACACTATTTTCCGTGTGCGCCCTTTTCTTGTACGCCTTTTGCTGTGCGCAGTTTTTGAGTACGCTTTTTTCTTGTACGTTTTCCTCATAGAACCGCCGCTAAGAATGGAATCTCATGTGAACGCACGCTAGTGACTCACCGGCTAGCGACCATTGGGGATCTGCTGTGAATCGTGTTGCTATGGTGTACGGAGCTGAAGCACGGCCGTGAGCGTGTGTGACGCGCTACTTGTGTGTTTCTGTCGTCAAGCGAGAGCAACACACCAAATGCACCCGGGTGTTTCAGCACACACTGACACGTGGACTGCTAATCAGTTCATCGAATGCAACAGTGCGCTATTCGTATTCAACTTGTGAAGAGTCCTTTCTGCTACACAGTGACGGATGTTGTACAGGACCATGGCTTTTAAACATCTCCTGACCTCCGCTGACGGTGACTCGAAAGTGGGCATTGGATGACGACAAACCTACTACCACGGGCTTCATATCTATACCATTTCCCGGCCAAGTTGTCCTCTTGGGCAACAGAAATAATCTGAGGGGACATTCAACATGAGTCTACTCAATTAATTTGTTCCGTGCGTACGCCAGTCACTTGTGCAGGTGTGTAGGTGTGCGTGCATAGCTCATCGCCTTCAGCCAATTGTACCTCAGACGCACTAAGTCATAGGGGTGCAGGTGGGACGCTTCAGCTCCTACGCACGGAACAAATTAATTAAGTAGACTCAAGTTGAATGCCCCCTCAGATTATTTCTGTTGTCCAAGAGGACAACTTGACCGGGAAATGGTGTAGTCCTACTACTGGAATTGGAACCGGTTTGGTTTGGTAGAGCGGATGAAATGAAAGTGGTCACTAATTCTATAGACGCTCGAAGATTACTTTTGTTTTTACGAAATGAATGTGGTTGTAACACTGATTTAACACAACTACCAAGGTAGAGAAATAATAATTTATCAGACGATTATATGGTTATTTTGGATAATTCCAAGATGAACTGTCCCACTCGGGTGTCACGTTCTCACGGTTTAATTCGTTTTGCGAAAAGTACCAAATCACTGTTGAAAAAGAGAACAGATTGGAACCCAACTCCTACATTGTAGCAGCATATACTTTAGGCTGAGACCCGACAAGTGCAAACCCATTACACTCGTTAAATAGGTTCATATGCTATTTCGACTCGGTCTGCTCACATAGTATTTGTCCTCATCTCACTCGTTTCGCCTGCATTATCCCTTACGATTTTAGACCGCAAACAAAATAGACGTAACAGTATTTTCAGCGTCCTAGTTTGCATATTCACTGATGCTGTGTGCTATCTTCTTTAGATCATTCATATTTTGTTATGGAACACAATCGGATACACTCACATTGAGCCAGTTAGGCGGTCCCTTGAATCAGAGGCGCATCAATTTCTTTGTTTTACTCTGTGATCCGCGGCACTGTGCATATGCGCAACACAATACTACGACGTCTAAGTTTACATTCTAAACGCTGCACTTATACAGAGGGAATGTGAGCAGCCGACTCACTATCAATTGTCATTGCATAATCTACTGAAACAACACGCACATGTGCTCACCTCATGGTGACTGCGCATGCTCCACACATTGCCTGATCCGGCTAACCCACTCAATCTGCTGCTAGGGTGGTTGCTTCGCCTTTGGATGGTGTTATAGTGGATGTAAGAACAATTCACCACTCCCCGTAGTTTTGTGAGTTTTATTCCACTCACCCCTATTCACCCCGTCCTCTTTTATTGTTCCCCACATACGTTTTTTGTTACCTCCCCTTTGTGACTAGCTTGCGTTGACACTGAATCTTATGCTTAATGGCTTTTCCCTTACTGTACATTTCGCCCGTTCGTGTGACACCGTATCGATCCTTCTCCCCTGGAATTACTTTGATTGATCGTCATCCTTTCTTCATAGCCTACGATATGCCCTAATTTGAATCATGTGGTTGAGTTGCACACACAGACGCTTGGTGACCGGTTTGGCTTACGGCGTAAACATTGTTTGTTGCCCGACCGTTAGCGTTCTCACTACCGTTAGTAGGTGAAAGCAGTCGTAGGGCACCGACACAGCAGAAGGAATGAAAGTGCAGCGCGGAAGCAGTCACCGTAGTGTCGTCGCCGAAATAGGGATTTGTGCTCCTAGTTTAGTTCTCCCCATTTCCCAACTTTGTTATTAGAGGTTTGGAAGCTATTTAGCGGTTACATCCGCAGCACCATGCTTCACTCCATCTAAGTGTCCGTCGAAATAATCTTGTGGTTCCTTACATATTTTTCACTTCATATCTAGCCTTGCGTTCTTTTTCAGATATAGACCATCAGGTGGATGACCAGAAAGTAAGCATTTTCTCTGTAAAACAGGTTACGAATTGCCTCTTTACTTCCAGTCGGTGCTCTGCATTGATTCTTATGTTGCAGTCTCCAGTGCAACTATGGTAGTTATCGCAATAACGAGATTATTGCATGTAAAGATGGCATTATTAACCGGCCACTTAAACAAGGTCTTTTTAATCTGGATACCTGTCTTCCCACTTTATTTCTTTGTTCTGCCAACCTTAGTAATCTTCTGTTAAGTTGCACACAATGCTTACGCTAATTGCACCTATCTTCGTTAACTTTATTGCTATTGTAGCATTTTTGAGTAATTTGTGGACATTTTGCACTTATCGCGGATGTGTTGGCAACCAATTTATTTAATATGCGCATTTATTGAAGAGTTATGCCATCGTATCTGTATGCATTAATCGATTTATTTTGTTTGCTCTCGTCATTTCAACTAATTGGCAGTTACTTGATATTCCCGGTGTGGATGTGTTTGATGTGCATGTTGACAAGGGGTCTACCTGTCTATCATCCACTACCTTGTCCATACTATGTCCAGGACACAGCTGGTCGTTGCTGGAGCGGACGGGGTGCACGATCTTTGTGGTCGTGCTAGGCTCGAAGAGTGTTTCCATGTACTCAGTGTAGAGCGAACTACGGTACAGCCACCGGCTTGTGTGCGATTGATTCCCAACTACAGCGTGCTTTTGTTTGCCTGTGAAGGAGTGTGCGGCGGCTCCGCTGATGAAACCTGGCTCCCATCCACATGCCTCCCGGTCTTATTCCTTCGGGTATACACTGGATATAGAGTGTGTGGTTGGAGCTGTGCTTGGTGCAGCGCTGGCCACCCATGGTCCCTCTGTAGGCGCAGGCGTCCTGTGGCTGGCCACAGTGACAGATAAATCCGAAATCGGATGCTACTAATAAGTAACCGGCCACCAACTGCTTAAGACTGTGTCAATATGGAAAAGCCAGAGTACTGATGATTGCCGTACTTGATGGAATGAACACGTTGCCCGCCCTATCCTGTCAGCTTGACTTCAGTGGCATTCACTTGCTGTTCGTTCTGTGCACTCATTTCAATCCGACCATGAATTGTATAGAGACACACTGATCTTCGTTCAGGCTAAACCTCACCAATCCAGAGTTGTCCGTCCTGCCCGCACAACTTCGGCTATCCGGCGTGGACGGTAGGTGCTTATTGTCTGCCGGTTTAGTTCGTCGATCTGACCAGCAGTCAGTACACCTTGTGTCGTCACTTTGGGTTGGCTGGCGCTGCGTTTTGTGTGCTCATTGCTGTACGGACTAATCCGGGCCCATCTTTTCATAATCCACAATGCACTGTGCTGATACCAAACAGGACCAGCTCTGCTTCGTGACTCTCGCCCGCCTAATTGGGGTCAGCTAACTGGATGGCGCTTAAGTGACATGCTATCAACTGGCTTCAGACCTGGTCTTTTTGCCCAAATGTCGGCCTCTATCTCACTGGAATCCGTGAACTCTGTGTTAGTTTAACGCAACAAACCTTGGGAAATTCTATTGACAGTTTTAAAGGTAGTTCGACTGGGACATGATAGTACTACATCGGACCATATTATATGAAACTAATTCAAGAGTTTGCATTCCTCACTCCCGAATGCTTCCGCAAACAGCGAATATTCTTGAATCAGGGTATGTACGATGGTGCCGGATCGCTCTCCGAACTGATGGTCGTTTGCTGATGCCTAGTCATCAAACTGAGTGGATCAGTTAGTGCACTGATCTTTATTTCCGTCAGTAGGCGCCTTGACCCTGAATGTTTGCTTAGAGCATTAAGGTTTTCAGGTAAGTCCCCCTTCTCTCCCTCTTCTTATTCTTTATTTCATAGGTCCTCATGGTTGTATGGCAGCGAAGCATCAGTTCAAATGGCTGATGTACTGCTGGTGGTGATGATGATGATGATGATATTTCCGTCAGCCATGATACCCGGTCTGCTGATGAAACGCTGACAATTAATCCACTCAGATTAAAGTATGAGACAAAACCATCATTTCTAACCAAGTGTCTGTACTTAGCACTATTCGTCAAAAATGAATCACAATCTTTACGATGTAACTTGACCATGAACGAAACCAGCAGGTATAAGTCAAAACATCCCATAGGACAGATACGTGAATAAGATGTTTTTTGAATACTGGTAGGGTGCACGTTCCCTCACAGAGACGCGCTCAGCCGGAGGAAAAAGGTGGAATAGTGAAGAGGTTATAGGACTAGTAAACACTAGACCGAGACGATGTGAATAATCGAGCGCAAGTATCAAAATGTAAACGACGTCGAACCCGGCGGGCTACATTCGCTGTTCAAGAAGACGGGGTGGATGAAGCAAACAAGAGCGAACTTCAGCATAGTAACTCACAGAATAGACGAGTGTGAGTGGACAGAGACAAAAGGTGAGGAGCAGTAACCCAAAAACGAATGTTGTGTGATCGATAAGCAATAAAATTTTACACAAAACAAGTGTCATCTATTGGGACGTAACAGAACTTCCCCTAGAAGACTGAACCAAAACGCCTTCAATATAAAGAATGATTTGAGTCGAATTTTTTTTAAAAAATAGTGCCGATTAAAACGGTTGTCAGAGTTCGTATCGAAAGAGTTTCGTCGGGAATCGGGGTCCGCTGTGCCGTTTGCATTTTTTATCTACCTGATGGCAGGGCGGCGTGCATCGAGACGAGTAGTTGGAGCTGGCTTATCGAACTGTAAAAATTTTGCCAGTCTAGAAGAACAGCCGACAGGACCTCAAACTTCGATGCTACTAAATACTGGGCTTATGAGCGGCCGCCACCGAGCCGCACTTCGCATCCACCAAACCGACCCTAATCTCACGAAGTATGTCCAGCTTTCGAGTTTGATACCTCGTTGACTGTGGCGCCCGTTGAAGGCGTCGCTCGTGAAGATCGGAGGGGAGGTTTGCGCATGTAGGGGCGGTAAGAAATAAAACGCACGCAGCCAAGCACCCAAAAGTACTAACGAAAAGATACCTTACTTGCAACATTCGATATTTTTGTGTTATTGGTTTTTCTTCAAGGTCCCCTGGAGGTTGGGTTTTTGGCTTTAAAATGCCGTCACCAAAACTGGGCAAGTGAGTGCAATATTTACGAGACTAAATGTATTTACACGATACTTGGTAGGAAAAGCGAACAGGTTAATAAACCTCCCGACCACGGTGGTTGGTCCTGGGTAGTGACAATTTGAGTGTAGATCATGTCGGGATGGCTGGTGTCAGTAGACCCGAATCGCCGACTGATTCGAGGACGCTGGAAGGTAAAAATTTAGTGCTCTTAGTTGTAACGTCGCACGAAGCGTTGCTAAGTGAAGTATGTCACTCGTTTGCACCCATAAAGACTGGTTTTAGGCGATCGATGTTGATAACTTCGTGTCGACCACCACGGTGCATATTGAATGTCTTGTTTTTACCACTCAGTACTCTGAACATTCCCGATGTACGGCGAATGTAATGGTTGTAGAACACTGTCTACACAGATAAGTACTTGTGTACAACTTGACAGGTTATGGACACATACACCGCTGTCTGCTTCAGCGGTGAAGCAGACGTGCGCAACTCATGCATATGGTGAGCTAACCGATCACGGCAACTCCGCGCAAACGCTGCTTGCAGCCGTAGACTTGGTGTGCTGGTGTTGCGTTGAAATGGATTTTTACATTGTTTCTTAAGCCTAGGAGAACGAGAGGAAGGGTTTCGCACCATGAACCGTGTGGGCGTGGTCGGAGCGCTGCCTTCATGTGGCGATGAAATCGTCGTTAGCTGCTGCATAATACTCCGTCTTCTGGACGTGGCGACAACCTAAATCCCCAAGCAACATGTCGAAAGTGGACGAGCAATTTGACCCTTGATCGGTGGTTAAGATGACAGGATAGCCGTACTGAACTAATCATCACCATAAAATGCCTTTGCTACTGTTTCTGAAGAGTACTTCAGTAAGTTAATAGCCCTCGACCACCTGGTGAATCGGTCGATGCAAGTTGGTAGGTATATCGATCCCTTTGAAGGTGCTACAGTACCTACGATCTCGATTTGCACGTAGTGAAAACTTGGGTCTGGCGTTGCAAACGTGCTTAATGAGCTTTTCATGTGCTTTTGCACCTTTGCACGTTGGCATAGAAGGCAAACAATAACCCGACTACAGATGGGGCGTTTGACTTTGCGTCAAACAGCTGGTGCGGTTACGAGTTTAACAGATACACGCCAAGGTGAGACAAACCGTGCGAGTGTCGAACACGGTCTGTCGAAACTCGCGTGGTACGAGTGGGCGCGGCGTTCCCAGAGATAAATCGCAATGTATAGTTCCGTCTGATGCTGGCAGCGGAATATGTCGTATGTCCAGTGAGAGATACCTGCGTAGTAGATCAATCTCAAGATCACTGCTTTGCGCTAGGGCCATGGATACCAGGTCGGTAGAAGTGCCGGCTTCAGAGGAGATCGCCTGGAATCGAGAAAGTGCGTTGGTGATGGCATTGTATGCACCTGAGACGTTGTGTATTGGTAGTAAACTGAGCGATATAGTCTAGGTGACACCACTCTCTAAGAGAGTATCGGGCGGTTGTCGAGCCAAGCACGTACATCACTGGTATAGGTGCAGTAAAGATGGCAGAACTGAGGCCTTCTAAGACATGTCTGAAATGACGTATGGCCAAGTAGATGGATATTAGTTCCTTACCTAATGTGCTCTAACGACATTTGGCAAATTGCAAGCGTTTAACGAAGAACACTAACGGTTGAAAGGTGTCGCCCACCTATTGTTGTAGGACAGCGCCACACGGACTCCACTCCACACGACTTCCTTCAGAACGTGTGGGGAATTGACGTCCATGCACCTTTGGCTGGTCTGACTATACCGAATTGACGAATTTGGTCGAATTCATCTCCTGCGGCATGTAACTTGACTGAGACGAGTCGTCTCAGTCCAGCACCCGTTGGCTGGCCACATGTGACTATTCGATGAACGGCCTCTGTCGTGACTGTTGCAAGCTGAACATCCGGTCGTGCCAATCGCGGGTACTCGGAGACTTGGCTCGTATAGTCTGATCGTGTGTCGGTGATACGTAAAATGGGACTGATTATTGCGGCGTATAAAAGAACGCCTTCAAAACTTAGTTTTGTACGGTCGTGTAAAAGCCTGTGGCGACCTAACCAACAAACAGTCAGAAATAGCGGAAGAAATGGCTACAGAAGATTGCAACCATAAAAGTTAACTGAAAATCTCGGAGGAAAATTTCGTCTAGGTTTGTCAGTCGCTGACCGTACGAAGCTATCGGATAAGCGTTAGCCGTACGTAGGTTGTACCTTGGTCTTGAATGCTCGTCGTTTGGGTTCGCTGGGATGGCACTCACTTGCACTCCCGTGCAGATGATGAAAGTGATGCAAGTCCGTCGGTTCTTAAAGTACAACAAGCAAACCGTTTATTAGTGATGGAAGTGCTGGTTGTGCTAAAATAAGGCCTTTACGCTGGCCCTGAGGCAACTGGTTCGTACCTTACATAGGGAGCAGCACAGCAACCGGCTTTTCCACATTATTGACGGTGATGCCAACACAAATCGTCGATGGATTCGGTATTATGAGACTGAAAACGTGTCGATGAAATATTGCACTTTTGTGGAAAAAAGTGATGTACTCAGCGCAGTGACAGACGAGCAGAAAGGAACGGTAGCCAAAACTTGGTCAGCTTCCTATGGGAACGCGTTCTGCTTCGAAGTCTTCACTGCTGCTGGCCCACTGTGAGTTAGGGCAAGTTCCTTGCCACGAGGGTAAGTTCGGATTGAAAACTTGGAGCATGCGCGCCACTCGTTTTTCATCTCAAAGAATGCGTTAACGAAGCTACTGGTTGTCTGTTGCGGAATACTTTCGAACGCAGCGTCCACTATGGTTGCTAGTTCTTTCAGGGGCTTGTCCAGAATCATGAACATTATCACGCGCAACGGCTCTGGGAGACCTGAAAGCTAAAGCTCCTTTATCCCATCTTTGCCCAAGAATAAGGGACCGACAATGCACTAAATATCGCGTAAAAACGTCGACGGCTTGAAATTACCCTATGGGAGATCACTGAGCTGTTCCAATTGAGCCTGTGAGCTAGGACTGAACTCCTTTAAGGTCGCTTGTATTGTCGTTTCATATTTAACATCATTCGGCGGAAAAGTAGAGTATCCTGAATCGGTGTCATCACCGATGAGGGTAGAGGTGGGACGAATTGATTGTACTTCCATCTGTCCGCCGGAATGTGCCTAATTTCGAGCTCGATCTTGAACATGGCAAACCAAATATCTGGGCTGAGGTGCATGAAATCTGGAACAGCCAGTGTTAGTATGCCTGCACTGTGAAACGACTTATAGCTACGTTGGAGTTGTGCATAACGAAGACCAAAAGAAACCGAGATTTGAGGAGGTCGTTAAAGTTAAGCAAGAAATAAATAAATGTATCTGTAAACTTGAGCATACGGAACAAACTCACAAAAAGCCATACGACGAAAAGTTCAAAATTCGCGCGTGCAAAACGGTGTACCTAATTCTATGGGGCTATTAGCTGCTCTACCTTTGCTCAGTCGACTGCATTCACAGCGTTTTCCATTTCTTCCTTAGGAGAAACATGTTCCTCCGTAAAGATCTCAGCTTGGTCCTTTATGCTGTCGAATTGCATCCAACGGGGTGAACCCCGTGAATGATACTGTTCGATGAGTGACAAATCTCAACTCAGATAATGCCACCCCATTCTGTTTCCTTATGGGTTACACAACCGGCTGGTTTGGAATTGTCCAGTTCGCATTGTTTAAGAGCGTTTGCGCCTGTTGGGTGCAACCTTAGAGAACTATGGAGGAAGAGGATTTCCTTAAGGAGGAATTTGAAGGCGCTAATGATGCAACTGCCTGGGAACAGTTTAGTCCAGGACGGTGTGCGGAATCGATCGCGGATATCAGAAGAGGCGCTACAAGGTATTCGTGGAAATCTTTGTTAGTTTCTCACGCACTCACTGCACCGATGAATGAGTACGGCCGTCATATTACGATCTGTGCTTAACGCGTGTTTACTTAGCTTTCGCCGTTTATGCAACGGAGCAGGTGACGCGTATTAAGGATGTTGACCAATGGTAGAGAATATTATCATTTCAAAGTGGAACATTAGTGAGCTTATAACGATGTTTATTACTGAAGAGGAAACTGGAAGGTTATTATAGTTTAATAAAAGGTTAGTGGCATATTATCGCCATTTCGCATGTCAATCGGCTAGTAATCTACAACACTTGCGTCGGTACGATCAAGAAACATTAGCTTAAAGTGGCGTTCAAATGCACCTGCTCTATGCATGTGTGTGTAACACAATAGCAAGACACGTGGTTTAGAGTAGTTCTTGTGGCACAGCACGCGTTTGTTGACAATGAGTAAACGCTGCTAAGCGTCTAACCAACAGTTAACATAACTCTTGCACCTCAAGACATTGCAAAGCCATAAATTAACGAACGGCAGAGTAAAACTCGCATTGAGTATTGTAGTCCTAAGAATCACTAGGACATTTACTCATCGGCGGTCCAGAAAGACCTCCTGCGCATGCGTCGAAAGCACGGTGCTTCTCATGAGCCTTCCGCAAGGAATGACTGGTGTCACAAAAGAGCAGCGGTAGGCATGTGTCACTGTTTCCGGCAGCCCACTACAGCATTCGGATGAATTTTGCTAAAGCTTAATTTCGGCCAATTAGTCTTCATTACCAATGAGCAGAAGATTGCGAAGTAATTTTACCGAGAGCTCGTCGTATTAGCTTCTAGGTCAATTAAACAACCACGCTTCCGGAAATGAACCAGATGACTGTTTCGCCTTATCGGGACTCTATATCGGTGCACTTCCTTCGCCACTAACAGAAACTGAAAATAATTGCTAGTGACGCAAGCCACTAACCACTCTACAACTTAACCCTGAAGTTAAATGTTGTTCTTAATTCCCAGACATCTTCCGGTCACATACGCTCTGAGGTAAGTGCGCCACCACATTACGGCAAGTTCGTAGTATCAGCATTTATAGGTTATATTAAACTATTTATGGTTTATCTACTTTTCTCTTACCCTTTGATACACAATATTAGGGCCAGATACGATATCCCAATTTCTGATCGCTTTCATCTTATGGTGTTTAGTACCTACTATTTTCAATTTAGGCGTTACTGGAAGCATTTCGATGTGAAGTTCTACATACGCACAATCGATACCGCGCCAAGCATGGACACCCGTGTTTGAAAAGATCAGTGGTAAGTTCACTAGTTGAATGCGTTTCATGATTTTTAAGAAAAATCGACGAGCATGTCATAATTAGAAAGGTAATATCTAAACACCCGTTGATCATTTGTAATAAGATAAGATAAAAGGCTTCGATTATCGTAACTTAGATCGCTGCTTCTCCGCCGGTTCAACCAATAGCACACACACACACACACACACACACTATACACGTTAGCTAGAGGTGGACAACACCTCAGCTAGTGTGCCGCAATACCTAAAAGAAAAAAAGAAAAAAATGCAACAGGTGCAAGCCAGCTGAGCAACCGGTAACGGATGGGCATAGTTCCGGTAAACTATCTGCCGGCTATTATGCAGCAGAAAATATTAATTTATTATGCAAAAGGATAAAATCCTAATAATGAGATCGTGTTTGGTGGGGGAGGCTAAGAGGGATGGCGTGGGACAAAGAAACTCACAGCACGAACGCCACTGAGGTCGGCTCCTAGCCATATCAATAAGCGTACCCAGCCAAACGTGTTCATCGTATTTCGGACCCAAACCAGGCAGCTGAGAGGCCCCAACCAAGGCCAGCTTCGATGTGAGGGCCTTCATTCCTCCAGACCAAGTCATCCCTTGGTCACCCCTCCTCTTCTTCCATCCAAACCCCCGGCGCGCAAACGACGCACGTCGCGGGAGTCGGTGGCATGACATGCGTAAAACATGGACGAGCCATCGAAGCATGGTGAGTGAAATAACGATGCTGAGCGGTTCACTTCATTTTGCTGTGCCGTAAACAAGGCGTCGAACACGCTCGTTGCTCACGCGATCTTCCCATCAGATATGAGCTAAATTGCAAAGGCACTGGTGGTCAAACGTCACTAGCCTCTTCAGGTCCGCTGCTTTAATAAGCCAGGTTTCACAACCGTACAGTAGGGTAGAACGTACGGCTGCATTGTACACTCTACTCTTCAGGGCAAGAGTGATGTCGCGCCGGCGCCATAAGTGGCGAAGGTTAGCAAAAGCGCCTCGAGCTTTTGCTATACGATTCCTGATCTTATCTGCAATCCCACGGGCGCTGATACAAATTCCCAGGTAGTTGATATTTTGAACGACTTCTATCTGCTCCCCACCGACGGTCAGCGTAGGAGGCGGTCCAGACCAATCTTGGAGGAACGCTTTGCACTTCGATGGTGCAAAGCGAAGCTCGAAGTGAAGGACAGCCAATGCCAATCTGTCCAGTGCCGCTTGGCACGCTTGTGAGCTGTCACAGATGAGAACAATATCATCAGCATACTCTAAGTCAAGAAGTCGTTCTCCTGGGAGCAAATCCGCACTTTCTAAGTCGTGTACTGTAAATGCAATCTACATGACTTCGTCAACAGCGAAGATGAAGAGGAATGATGACAGTTGGAATCCTTGTTTCACACAGTTGAAGATAATAAAGGGTGGCGACAGCTTGCCGTAAGCCCTCACTCTGCCCGAGCTACGCGCATACAATGCACGGATAATATCTATATATTTCTTAGGTACACCTTTCCTGAGTAGACAGTCCCAAAGTGCATGTCAATCCACTGAATCGAATGCAACTTTGATATCAAGAAACACGACAACTGTGGACAGCTAATAAATGTGACAGTGCTCCAACAACTGAGGCAAGGTGAAGATGTGGTCAACGCAGCCATGACCTCGACGAAACCCGGCTTCAACTTCACGAATATGGCTTTCGCGAATGCCCTCCAGCCTGTGAAGGATGACAGAGGCAAGCAATTTTGGGGTGACGGAGATCAGACTGATTCCTCTATGGCTGCCGCATTCCGATCGTGAGCCTCCCTTAAAAATTTGGACCATAACGGTGCGGATCCAGTGGGTTGGGACAGTTTCCTGCTCCTCAGAAGAGCAGAGCGCCCGAATCTGAAGAGGGTCGGAGGTAGATCGTCTGGTCCCGCGGCTTTATTTAACGCAAAAAGCGCGATCTCACCGTGGATTCTGAGCGAGAGGGTGGATGCATAGGCACAGCCCACGGAGCGGGGCCTTCATTGGTCGGCGAGAAATCTAAGAATTCCGAACGATTAAATTGCCTTTCAAGTTGCTCAGCCCAACGCTCTAAGCGTTTTGACAAGTTGTGAATAGGCTGTCCACCCTCGTCACGTATACTTTCACTAACACCAGGTATCCTGCCGCCCGATTCCAGTATCAGCCGGAATCACTTACCATGGTTTCCATGGGCAGCGGCCATTTCCATCTCTGAAGCACGATGAGACCACCCGAATTCGCGGTCTCTCTTCAGGCTAGCACGGAGTTTGGCCCGGAGCTCTTTGCGAGTTTCATTGTGTTCGCTTCCAGCCGAAATATGCCGGCGAGCATCGATAAGTTCCAGAGACTGCGAAGAGACACAATCTTCATATTGACGATTAGGCGTACCACATGAGGATATTCCTGCTCTTAGTAAGCTCTGGTGAATATGAGACCAGTGAGTTACAACTGCATCCTGTGTGCGCCTACTCAACTCGCATGACAGCGTACTTTGATAGGCATTCAGAACAGCTGTGTTCGCCACTTGTCTGGTGTCAATGCGCTCACCATGTCGGCTTGGGCGTCCGCCAAAGCGCATCCGCAGGTCAGCACATACAAGTGCATGGTCCGTGTCTACACATGTGCTCCAAATCGAGCGACAATTCTGGACGCAGCCTCTCTATCGGTAAGTTATCGCAATGTGGTCCGATTTGTGTCCATAGCTGGTTCGAGGCTGGTGGGCACTAAGTCACCCTCCGGCAGGTGCTGTGTTAGAAATTAGTGCTCGCAAGGAATAAGTTCCCCTTCCCCACATAAATGAAGTAACCGCTCACCCTTATCATTACAGGAGCCCGCCTCATGTTGACCGCCCAGATGCAGCTCATCTGTGGATAATTTTCCAACTTTAGCGCTCAGACCCCCAGGCAGCGCAACTTTGTCCGAGCTACTTCTGTGGCTAAAGAGCTCGTTCAGTTGCCGATAGAAGTCGAATTTCACCGAGTCATCGCTAGATTTCGTCCGTGGCTATCCAGCGATGTCGAATAGACACCTGTTAGTCACATGCGACTTCGGAGCTTTGAACGAGCCAGCCAATCGGACCACACACATGTGGCTACTGATTGGAATCGAATCAACCAGAGTAGCTTCATCCCGGGGATTCAGGGCAATACCAACACCGGCTTGGACGGTGCCCGAAGCTGCATCGTCACCGGATAGGCGCAGTGAGAAAGTGCAGCTGTTGTCTCCTTAAGTGGATCACAAGGTGAGCACAGAGCTGGAGTCTTGCAGTCTGGTCTCCGATAAGCAACATATATCGAGCGAGAGGGTCTCTAATGTTCACACAAGTGATGCCTGTTGACCGATCTGAAGCAATGTGCGAATACTGAGGCATGACCATCTGAAGGAGGATGGAGGGCTCCAAATGGAAGCCGATGAACTGGAATGGGCCGCTTGATTGGACTTGGGCCTGTTGGCAGGGCAGGAATGACGCTCCGCGTTCACATATAATTTGAAGCTAAAAGACAAGCAAGGTGGGAAAGGGCCGAGTATTGGGGGTTTGACAACAGGGGGATAAAAGTGAAGCTGGAACGGCTCGATAAGGGTGAAATGCGTAAGAGGAGAATAAGATGACAGGAAGGCTTGAACAGTGGTATCCAAACCCCTATCCACCCTGCTCGATGCAGCAGATAGGGCACCATTGGTTATCCACTGCGTTTGCCAGGGCATCAGAAATTTGTTTGAGGAGAGCTTCATTGTATTGCGTGGGCAGGATACTGTCAGGTTGCCCAGGCCTGGGCAAGAGAACGATTAGGGTTCTCAACCATAGCCTTTGGTTCAAAAACCTGACCTCGAGGCAGCCAGGTTTGGTGTTGTGCTACAGAGAGTTCGCTTTAAGGAATAAGGAGCCACCTCATTCGAACCCCCAACCTGGAGGACTAGTAGGCAGGGTTTGTCAGGCCTCTAACCATTGACCAATCTTGTATGAGTTGCTCTGAAGGTTCATAAATGCACCACACAGCATAGCTCAATGGATCACTGAGGCACACAAACCATCGCACCACGGTAAGGTCCAGCCTCATTTTGATGGGTTCAACCTATAGATCAGTGCTTCATTCTGATAGTCACTGTTTTTTTCTTGACACATCATAACCTCAAGACGCAGAGTTTTAGATACTGTCCGCATCCGTCAGGGTCAATACTCAAAAGCGCATTGCTTCCACTCTTGTAACAGTTACATCTAAAATGTGCCGCGGCTGGATCGTATAAGATCCGTGGTTCTGCATGGCAAGCATAATCCTTCTGTCCGCCATATCTCAGTGGACGAACGTCGTATATCGTGCTGCATTTACCTAGCCAAACGTTTGAAGTATCGTTTGAAGTGGGGATAGAGCACTTCCAGCTGTGCGAAGGTCAAACACCTTCGCTTTCCTTTTTACATAACACTCGACGGTCATGCATAAAAATCGGAGATTCCCTTATACTCTTCAGCCTCGGCTTGACTTCCAACTCTCACATGGGGATATCCCAATTGAAGTGCGAACTAGTGTCCTTACATGTGATGGAGGAAGACAATGACTAACTGGTTATTTGAGTTCAGAAAGGATGTGAGTATTTGTATCGTCAGCTTATTTTATGAATAGTCCCGTAAGTAAGACTTCGCAAAAGTATTTGATAAAACTGATAGAAACTGAGAGCGATATGAAGAGTTGAATGATCTAACTATTAAAAGAAATATCTACTCCTACGTTTTCTTTATACAGTCATACATGGGTGCTGTCAGTGGAAGTCGCGTATCTCAAAGATAACCCTGCCCTCTGCAATGTTCGTACCTTTCATAGCAGGATAGGATGGGCTATATAGTAGTTGACTTCTAAATCATAAAAGTTTAGTAGTAGCTTCTGTGTTTCAGTGGTATCGACAATTGGCTTTCGTTACATCCGCAAATGTTCTGGATACGGATCCTGTTTCAGCCAATAACTACGCACTACAGACAATTTTCATTTGTAACAAATGGCTTCCTAGTGCTTCATTTGGCACGTAAAGAGCTGTCTGATTTTGAAGCTATTGTGACGATAAGCCCAATCAAAAGAAATTAACCGAACAGTCAAAAAATACATAAAACGGACGACAGTTTGTTATATCGTGCAGTGAGGCTAATGCAGGGAAGGTTCCCGCTACCTACTTGGCAGTTCAAGTCAAGTTTCCTTACAACTTGGAGATCAAGATCGTTGGACCACAGTGGACGCGTTTAGCCTTAATAAATTATGGCGAATTCTATGCTCTGTCGTTATGCCTGTTAAAGCCACCAAGAATTATCCCCGATAAATACCCACCTGACCCATATAACCGTTCAACAAGAAACACCGTGAACAAGTTTAGGTATTATCACACGAAGAATTAATTTCACGATAAACGTGAAATGAAAATTGAGTTGTTTCCATAAATTATGTAAGCAAAACGGCAAACGTTCCCCTTGGATGTGGTGGGAGGTACCTGAAAACAAGAATTTATTTTTACTCCTTACTTCATACCAAACTAAGGAATCCTATGTGTAATAGATAGGCATTTGTATGCACGCTATATCTTACAAAATAGGGAGCATATACAAGCGGATATGTTTCTTGGAATAGTAGGAAATTTCATGTCGATAACTTCTGCCATCCTGGTTTCTTTTACTTCAGTGTGTCCTCCCAAGAACGGTGCAAGTTGCTGTGAAGTATACTTCTTTGATCCCCTTGATAGCATTGTCATTTATTTCTGGTGCTTACCTCCGTTACAGACACTTGACTCAATGGCCTTGAGCTGGGCGCGCCAACTGCGAAAGAGCGGGCAACCAGCCTACAGTAACTTGACGTATGCGAACCAATTAATGGGGGAGAATGTTTCCGATCGTTGTACAGTGAACGGCAGGTTATCAGGTGAGCAGCAATAATGTGTTTCCATAAGACTAAGTAACCGATAGTGGCATATTAACTTTAGCCTTCGGTTCAACGCTGGTTTGTCAACAATTAAAATTTCACTCTGCCAATCAAAATTAATAGTAAGGTGAGGCACTCTTTGCACGTTTCATATAACCGTACGTCTCAGACTATCGTCGCCGATCGCCACCGATGACTACTTCTGAGATCAGCAATATTCAGTACAAAATTTTCACCATCTCAACTTGAATAGCTAATATTTCGGACCCTAAGATGTCAAAAAAGGATGCAAGTCGAATGGAGAAATTTGAGATGAACAAATTTTGGAACCAAGAATTTCCGTCTACACAGACTACAATCTTGCCAGACCCCAACATAGGTATTTGAAAGTTGTATTCTTAGGCATACATCACTTGTTGACGTCCAGCAGTATGATACAGAAAGAAAAGGTTTCCGACAGAGTTCGACGTCATCCAGCTCTTTAAAAGCATAGCTGGCGTTTATTACCTGAAAAACATGCCTTAAAGCTCACGGAGCCATCAAGAAAGAACACCCTTAAGTAGCGTAGGTTTCAAGCAGCAAGACGCTTACCAAACAATTCGTTTGGATTTAGGGCTTATGATGAACTGACCAGGGTAACATGTGTCATTTTACGTGCGTAGACGTATGTGACTTCCCGCTTGTTTACTATGAGATGCTCTAACATAATTAATGCTTACACATTAACAGATTTGGATGAATACTTGTTAAAAATGAGGTATGAAGAGTGATTCTATTAAGCAAAGTAACTGTCCACAAAAATTTATTGAAACTAATGGTTGAACCTGGGGTAATTGTGAATTAGGGACCATAATCGTCAAAATGCAAACGGCGGAAATTCAGTAAACATGCCTTCTGATGTTTAGAAATCTATCCAAATTAGGAGAACTGTATGATACGAACTCTTAACCAAAAAATAAACTGATTGCGTAAGGAGCTAATTAAATCGCAAATCAGTTGTATTATTGAATTTGGTAAAAGCCATTTATCCAGGAAAGTTTTTCTTGCATGTAGTCAACAGTCGTAGACAAGTTGTATGTAAAGATTGCACTTTCAAGAGATATTACTTGTTTTTAGAACATTTGTATAACGGAACAATGGTTTCTGATGGGTAAAAGTTGTTTGATAAGACACGTGGGATTGGCAGGATGGTAAAGACGAAATAGAATAGAGAGCGCGGTAACAACCTGAAGAGCGTCTTAGTGCATTCAACATATTGTCTACGTGCAAACTACGCGAAAATTCTTCCTCTATTTTGTGGGGTAACTTTAGTGAGTGGATCGTACACGCGTCGTATTAGTTCCTAGCATGGATAGACTATATTTCATAGTGTAGAAGAGTTAGTGTGGAGTCAAAACAGCTCTTGAACGTGGAGAATGTGGGACAGAAAACAACTTCATTTAGGAAGACGTTCCTTAGCTGGCGTACACGAAGATAGTACAACCTCTGGCGACATTCCAGTCATCTGTGTTGTGCTGCCAACTTGGAGTAGTGGCGTTTCAGGGTCGTGTAGTGACTATGTTGCAAAAGATGGCAGGGAACCTGGTTGAGACTCTTCGGGATCCAGCCGAGCATGATAAGATTGCCGGAAAGGGCCGATACTGACCGCTGTACAGCCTATTGTCTTCAGTTTGAATTGCTAGGGAAGGCGGAACAATCTTCGATGTGCTTGAGAAATCTATGCTGTGGAGTTTCGAGCACGTCTAAATTTTGATTCCACCAGAGCTTCGAGGCTTTGATGACGCACTGCCAACCAGGCCATACTTCGATGTAAAGCAACTGCCAGTGAAGGGATGGATCAAGCGGGTAAAACATCCTACATCATATACCGACGTGTCTTCCGACATGTTACACCTTCGCGTATCCCTTCTAGCAGTCACGATCATCCTGTAGTAGTACTCCAATGTTCCGATGCTGGGAGACCAGCTAGAAGACATTGTCCTCAGGCATTTATATGCTGTTCAATCGAAGACATGTGGGAATCATCTTACATGTATACAAATTAAGAGTGTCAGCGTAAGTGCAAGGGCGCGTTGTTAAGGTGAAATATGAAGCTCTTGACTAAGCGTCGCGCCCGGCATTGTGATGTCAACGGGCTGCGGTCATTACGTGTTTCCAAGGCACTTTGCTTACAGTCGTAGTGTCTCAGCTCTTCCGCCAACTTAGTTCTATCTGCAAGCTTCTTTTGAAATCTCCCAGCCTTATTAAGATGATGATGATGAAGATTTGAGGCAACCACAGGAGGATCGGAAAAGAATAAGTGACCGCGGGATGGCACCTGTCAAGTGGGGGCAAGCGTGTCATGCAGTCTAAACGGCACCTTTTACCGGCCTTAAGATGATCCTTGTTCAACTAATTTCCCCAGACTCGGGGTTAGCTGCCACTGGTTTTACTTTAAGTCACCGCAGTTCAATGCTGCTTCAAGTTTTGTCAGTCTTCGTACCACACATTTTTACCTGGTCAACTAACTTCAAGTTGACAATACGGCTGCGAACTCGCTTGATAGATTGTGGTATCTGAGTTGCCAATTAGATCATGGACTAGCAAATGCTCTGCGTTCTAGCTCAACTATCTCTGATTGCATAGAGTTTGAAACACTTTCTGAAAAGACAATCTATTTACCAAAATAAAATACATGTACTCCACCGACAAATAGCCTAATCTGAGCAAAACAAGGCTGAACTTCGTCGAGAAAGCAAAGGTAAGCGATTAAGATCTGTTTTTCAAAGCTGGCAAACTGGTACCAAAGGAACGATTGGAAAACACGCGGATTACTCAACGAACCATCCAGCTTAATTACAACATACTTCGGGAGCTTAAATAAAGGGAGTGATCACCTTCAAAATGATCAATTAAAGCTACCATCTTTTTAAGTTAAAAAGCCGACTTTTGCGGTTCGTTGCCTAATTTTAACTGTAGTACTACCTTACACGTTGTAGAGTTTCACCACAGCCCTACTGCGCAATTCTTACAGAGGACAAGCGAAAGTGCATACTTCACTGAATGCAATCAGACGCTTGTAAGCTCGCGGCGAGTGCAGCATGGTTCCACATTTCAAGGGAATGGGCCTTCTTGCGTTCTACCGGTTTTAGTTCCTCCTTCCCCAGGACACAACTATACCACTTTTAGTTGTGTTGTAGAAACTACTTATTTGCTTGCGCACTGTGCTACCGAATCGCGTAGCACCAGCCCAAAGGAGGAAGAGTTCGCAGCGACGAACTGAATGATGCCTATTTTTCAGTTATTTAAACAGGTTTTAGATTGGAAACAGCCTCTACCTTGTGAAATCTGATGACTCAGTTCCACAAAGAAGGGAGCAGGGCTGAACGTTTAGACAACAACCGCATCGCTCTTCTTCCGTTGCTAGTTTAAGCCACAGATTACGTCATGTGCGACTTGCTTGTGGCTCATCAAGAAACTACGACGTTTGTTATTACTGATTAGTAGCAAGGAAATTGGTATAATTCAGCTAATCCATCATTGCCACTCTCAATCAACAGGCTTAGACTAGTCTGGAAAAGAACTATATGCCGACCTTTCGACCTTCTGGGTCTCGTCAGTGGTGCGCCACCCAGCGGATCTCCGCCGGGTTCGCCCCCATGACTTATGGATGCCAGCAGCAAGTGCCACTTCGCCATGGGTGACAGCCGCGGACCTGCGTGATTGACTGTTGACTACGATATAGCCCAGCTCATCTTCCACTGCCATGCCAGTTACGAACTGTGCAGACGAGAGTGGCTAGCCTCACGAGTTAAGAATTTCCGCATAGTGCCCCTGCCCGGCACGAGGACTTGAAAGCTATAAGGACAGATGTTTTATATCTTACTGATGAGTAGTGAGGATTTTGGTATAATACAGCTAATTCATCGCTGTTACTCTCAGTCAGCAGGCTTAGGCTTGTCTGAAAAAGTACCAGACGCCACCGTTTCGTGCTCCGGAACACTTCGGTTTCCATCCACAACTAATATGTTGACAGTACAGGGCAGCTGCATTTGGTCTTCCCACGTTATAGAGAGCACAGATGCGACCTAGCTGGATTTCTCATGAGCATCAACCTAACTGAGCTTCCTTTAGACTGTCATAGTCTTTTGTTACTCGTGATGCTCCCCTGAGTTGAAGCGCAAACTACCTGCTTCATTACCAGTTGACGATCGGAGTTCATAATGCTGTCTGACCCCATATACTTTGAATATGTAGGGATTAGCGATTAGGTCAAGTTGGTTTTAACATCCATCGTTGACCTTGCGCATGTTGTCCCACCACATTTCCTACTTTAAACAGATGATCTCTTGACATAGTGATGAACAGAACCTCGATTAGTGTCTACTCCAGCGTGACCTAGAAGTGATGTATCAGTGGTCAGCCCGGAATACCCTGCTACGCTGCTTAAGAGCACTGCGGAGTGTCACTTCCAATTATTGCACTGTGGCAGAGCTTATAACCATCCTCTATACAAATCTGTGGACCTTGCGCGAGAAGTTGTCAGTTACGATCAACTTAAAGCACTAATAAAACATCTTGGTGTTTTGAGCAGCTCAGTGGTATTATTACAAGCTCTAAGTTTTTCCAGTGGCACAATGGTATAATATGTACAAAAAGCTGATTTGTTAAGTCACCTAGGGTTGGCTATGAGATACACGTAAGTACAGAAAGTATGTGCCAACCAGGCAAACGGCGCATCCAGTTCCTTACTTGCCTGACAAGTTGTCCTCCATGTAGAGGGTCACATGGCGCCTGCCACTACAGAGTGGCCATGCGTGGCTTGCGCTGCACCATCCACAGCTCCATCTGCATCCTCTATACTCAATGTACATCAAAAGTAATAGCAACGGAACGCATGTGGATGGGAGCTATGTTCCACAAACGGAGCCGGCCCACGCGCTTTCATCCTGCACAGTAGTAGCATTCCAGTCAGACTACTTATGTACTCATGCATACCAGGCGTACAAAAGGAGGTGCCT